ACACTAATCAACGGCACGAGAAATGAAGCGGAGTGGAAGGCTTCGACGTCCATGATGATTATATCAGAGCATTGTGTAATACACATGGAAATTCCGAAATATAATATGCTAAATTTATCGCGTACGTCTGTTTTCTACCTGTGTGTGTGCATATTTTTTTAGCAAGATACACTACTCCATAGGTGTATGGATTGACATAAAATTTGCGCTTACGACAAGGTTTAAAGTTCTAGACAATCTTCAAAACAAATTAATATCCGCTGGACAGCGGTGTCTATGCCGCTGTCGGTACCGGCGCGCGCGGAAGGTGCATTTCGGCATTTAGCAGGGATACATTATTAACATGTCTAGAAGGAACAAATTGCGCGGAGTGCAAGCCGTTGGCAGGAGAGAAAAAAGCTTCTGACTCATCAGATATGATCGGCGACAAAAAAGGACGTTTTTGCGAGCCAATTGGTAACAAAATCACGAAAATGGAAACAGATTATCACAGACCATCCCACCTAGACGAAACTCAAAAGGATAGTATTGGTCTGTACTCGCTAATGCTCGTAGGGTGAGCATGTGTAGAGCACATGTCGAAACGTTGACGTTGTGCTGTATGAGCAAGTTGAGCTGTAAGATATTGCCAAAGATGTAAGTTTTAATCAGGATGGTTTTTAGCACGTGACAGCAATGTATTACAAACGACGCTATGTAATTACAGAGTTCATAGTTCGGTGGTGATACAGTGCTGTTTTAATGCCCCTCATATCAGTGCTTTTCACAGATTTTTCAGCCAAGATTCACTTTACCTACTAAGCAGCACCCAAAGAACACGCCAAGGGTTCTAAGAAAATCACTCAGACTAATTAACATAGATGCCCAGTATCCGTATGTGTTGGAAACCAGCAAACAAATCGAAGCTGAACTTATATTTTCATAAAATGTTATGCCTGTCGTGAGCAGGCAAATAAACGAACAAGAAATGATGCTCAAGCTAAAACACATGAATGCATCCCTAGTCTCTTCAGCCCAAGATTTTCAATTCACCGGGTTGAACCGCTAGAAATTTGAGTGTGATTCTTTACACCTCCATCGCTGACAATGACGAATGTAAATCTAAGTCTGCTCATTTTCGGAGACATTCCATCACGCATTGTTAACTTTATGAAAAAATTTATATTAGGCGTTGCTGGTTTGGTGAGCAGCAAAATGGAGTTAGGACTTCGTAAAAGTGCTATAAAAGCTGCCCCCGTATTCACTACGCATTGAAGCCAATCGATGTCTTGACATCATTAAGACGCTTACATTCAAGTTTTAGTTGCTTTTGAAGAGGTCACTTGTGAGTGCTGACCGTGTTCTGCGCGTGGGCCCAGCATTGGCTATCTTGACAGATGCGGGTACTAGAAATTGCAGAAATATGAAAAAGTGCCAGTCCTTTTTACTTTACAGATTTCAGCGCTCGATCAGATTACCACTACCACTCCATCACCAACCGTGAGCATACCACATTCTTTTACTGGCCTGAGGCATCGTCAAAGACTAATGTAATTGTGGGATGGGGGTAAGATCAGGGGCGCAGTCAGGATTTTCTTAAAGTAGTGATGGGGCTCAGTGAGAAAGCATCACACGGATCCTAGCTTTCTGTCAAGAGTTGCCTGTGGCAAAAAATACTCGTTAAAATGCGGATATCAGAGGGTTCCCAGGACTCCGTTTACCACCTTTAGCTGCGTTTGTAGACAGGATAGATTAAGGACGATAAGACGGCATTTGGGGGTCAGCGACCAACTACATTGCAACACCCGCATTACGATCCAATTTCTTAGTTTTTTTCTCCAGTTTCTTCCCATTTTCAGGGTGTTGCATCAATCGTTGTTTAAAACATTGGGAGTACCTATAACTGTCAAGTCCACCGTGGTCGAAACAGAATGCAGAGAAAAGCAGTTGTCGGTGTGATATAGTGTAGTTGAAGTGCATAATCATGCGGGAGTATTGCGTGTGTAATTTAGATCAAGTAAGCATTCAGATTCAGCTCAGTTTCTTTTTACCTCAGGGCGCCACAGGTGCTGCTCCATGCCTGTACTAGGATGAGTTGGTTCCGACAGCGAGCTTTCGTTCGGAGCCAGCCATTACCATTGATCACGCCGCTCTTTCTTGACGCACTTTGCTTGATTGCTCGTCGCAGGAGGGCATTAGAACATTGGCGCGCGGGGCGAATCGATATCGCCGCATTGTGTGTGTTCAGGCTTGCCGTCGCCGCTTTCTGAAGCCGACGCACCGCGGCACGCGTGAGATTACCTCCCTATTGTCCATGCTTTCAGCTGACTTTTGCCATTAACGAGTGGCCCGCTGCTTGGACGATATCGAAAGCACTTGCCAGGTCCCCGCTGTGCGAGCAAACAGTGGTACAGACCATGGGGACGGGGATGACTGGCGGCCGTAATGACGCTGCCATTGGGCCGGCTCGCGGTGGCGGCTCATTCATTAAACCATTAAACCTGCTCGGCCGAATGGCACGGGGAGAGGCATCGAGTGGCAGTCGGTCTCGTGCGGTGCAGCCATGCGTGGCAGCTCGGCTCCACTGGCAGGGTTTCTCATGAGCCTGCTGCTGGTGCCGGCGGCGGCAGCGGCAACCACGGCACCCGACGAAACCCTGAGAGATCAGCTGAGCTGTCTGGTGGACGGTCTACACAGTAAACATGGCAATACTGCGGAGGTGTTCATAGAGACTCCGTTTACCGGTACGTGCTATTTTGTGAATTGTAACGACTTGGTAAGGCTTGTGCAATTTGCATGAACGTATTTCATGAGCTCTGGAATACTGTTGCACTACGCCTAACGTTGTAAAGCTCTTTGTGTACTTCTCGTTATAAAAGAGTTCAGTTTCCTACAATCATTTCATAGTGCAGTAGAAGGTGGGCGGCCATTTTCGCGCGGCCATTTTGTGATCAGAGCAGCTTTCTGACTCAAGACATGACATTAACAGTTAACAACATACCTGAAAACTCAAACATTGAACACGCATTCGGACGGGCGGTTAAATGCGACACGCCGAGTGGGTGGGGTAAGGGAAGTAGGGGTGGATCTGCATCCCCTGCGATGTTCCAAAATGAGGGGGCTAAACACTAAATACACAGAACTACTGGGCATCTATGTGCATTAGTTTGCGTGATTTTCTTAGAACCCTTGGCGTACCCTTTGGGTCCAATGACGTCAAAGGAGGACAAACTTGAGACCCGTGTGAAAAGAACTCCCAGACATCATCACGTGATCAGCGTTAATCCAAATACACTTTCCAAGTAAAAGGTCACTCAGGGTCAGTTCAGATCAGTGACATTGTCTTACCTTTAGTGGGCTGAGCAGCCAAAAAACACCCATCATTCGAGACAAATTTGATACGTAAATTTAAAATGAACGCCAAGATCTACCCATGGTGACAGATTAAGACAGTAGTATTAGCCTTATTCCTTGGGAAAACCAGGAGAATGGAGATATAGGCTGGTTGATATTTCGGCAACATGCCTTCGGCAAAAAAACTTTTTTTGAAAAAACAGCTTTTTTGTTTTTTTTGCTTTTTGTTTTTCGATAAAAGCATGTTGCCAAAATATCAACCAAACTTTATCCCCATTTTCCCGTTTTTCCGGGGGAAAATACTAATACTTTTGTCTTATCTATGTACATAATATTCCTCGCTGATGCACTGAAAAATTTGCATGGCGACAGTTCCTTTATAGAAGTCTAGTCTAGGTCAATGCCCTCCCTGACCTTCAAAAGTCAAGAACAGAAATCCTGTTATGTCTTTATAGTCAAGAAATTTGAGAGGAGTGGCAAAAGCTTTAAAATAAACAAGTTTTCCTGTGAAAAATATGTTTAGTTTTGAACTTAGTATGACCTTCATACGTGACCCAAGGTCAATAGAATGAGTTGAAGTCCTAATATGAATCGTCTCGTCGTCTAAAAACCATCTCAAGCCTACATGACTTCGCCTAAAAAACTTGACTCAGAATTAATTCCTGTGCTGAGAGTCATGAACTGGCTTGGATCCACTACAGGATAGGGGACTCGCAAGCGAAATTACCGTGAAGGGAATGTTTTACATTTGAAGATATTGAAGCAAGCGTCAGATGCGACGAAGCAAGCTCATCAGCTATTGGTAAGCTTTTAAGTGAAAAGGACTGCTCTAAACAACAAAATTTCTCTGTTTTTTAAATATGCTACCCAATACATCCATTTTTTATTACGTCAGCGTACCTTGCACAACATTCATTGACAGCCGATTGACCGCCGTTGTATCTGGAAAGCATGATCCCGAACGCCAGATATAAACGAACAATTACTTTTTCTTTGCCTAATTGGCAGCTTGGCTAATGGAATGGCAGGATTTGAATGACGTTATGACGACGTCACGATGCCAAGGTGAGCTTGATATACTTCCCCAAAATAGTCCCCCATCTTCGCGGGCATGTAGCTAAAAAAACCAGAAGGATTTGGGTCTTAAGAATGGCAGGGCTGTTAACTGCACCGAATGATCTTCAAGATGTCCATTGCAGTTCAAAACCTCATAGAAATGTGTAATACTCCCTGCAATGTTTGCAAGACAAGGTTTGCTTCTTAATTTTTTATAGCCAGCTAAAGTTTCGTGTGGCTACGTTGCACCATTCGGAAGCTTGGCAGCAAGCGCAGCTGCATTACACTTGATCGGTAGCAGTAGCTTGGGAAGGCGGCTAACCGGCCGTTGTCCGACAGACTCGGAAGCGACGCTGCTGCTGCGACTGTTTTCCACGCGAGGCATCTTTGCCCGTCTGCATCGCACGAGTCCTGCAGCGTTGCTGGGCGGGCCAGCCGGCGCTGGCTCGGCCATGTATGTCGTGTGGCTGCCGCCGGACGAGGACACGGCCGCCACGGCCGACCTCTTCCGCCGCGTGCGCGCGGACGACTCGCGCCGCTGGCTGCTGGTCTCGCTCGGCGGACGCCGGCGCGCCCACTTCTTGGGCGGCTTCGCGCCGCGCCACCGCTACATGATCGCTAAGAACGGCTCGCTGCGGATGTACAGCGGCTCGAGCTTCCACAGCCGCCACGGACCGCGCGGCGAGTGTCGCGGACCGCGCTACATTCACCGCCAGCGGCGCACCGGGCTCAGCGCCAGTCTGCGCGCTATGAGCGGCGTCCACCTGCGCCTGGCCCACCTGGCGTTGGGGGGTGACAGCGGTCTGGACCCTATGGTCGTGAACAACCTGCATATGATGCACCGAAACGGTACCATCACGGGCGGCCTGGTCGGAGAGCTGGTGCTGCTGCTGCAGGGCGTGCTCGGCTTCAGCTACTCGCTGCACCCCGTGGCGCACACGACCAACCTCTCCGCCTGGGACCGGGTGGTGGAGGAGCTGTATGCGGGCCGAGCGGACATGATGGCTGGCAAACTGCTGCGTAGCCTGATGCGCGGCCGCCTGCTCGACTTCTCCTGCCCGTTCCTGACCGAGCGCTCTGGTGCCGTGATCGACCAGCGGTACACGCACGTTCTGAACAGGTTCCGCATGACGCAGCCGCTGGAGAGCCGCGCTTGGTACGCCCTGCTGGCCGTGCAGACCGCGGCCGTGCTCGTGCTCTGCCTGGTCACCTGGTGTCACCTGCGCATGCGCGGGGGGTCCCTCGACGCAGAAGCTGACCCGCCGCCTGAGGCGGGCGCGTCGTTCTGGTTCCTGATTGTGCTGGGCGTCTTCTGTCAGCAGGGTGCCGTGGTGCGCGCGGACGGCGCGCTCTCCTACCGGCTGGCCATCAGCGCCGTGTACCTGCTGTCGTTCTTCATCTTCGCCTGCTACTCGGGAACGCTGCTGGCCCAGATGGCCATTACGCGCTACGAGATGCCGTTCGCCACCCTAAATCAGGCGCTGGAGCAGGGCTGGCGCGTCAGTAACTTCACCTCCAGCCTGGGGCTGCGGGAGACGGTGGTGCAGCCGCTGATGGGCGGCCGAGATCTGCCACAGCTGCCGACCTCGTCTGACGGACCGCTGCAGGGCCGCAACCTCCTCCTGATGACTAGCGCGACCACGGATGGCCTGTTCAGGTGCCTGCCTGGCGGCTCCCAGGAGGGCCAGTGTCCGGTCTGTATGCATCCCGGGACCACAATCCGACACGATTACTCGCTGGTCTTCCGACCACACTTCCCGTACCTGCGCCTGGTCAACTATGTCATCCCACAGCTGATCGACCGGGGCATCATGAGCCGCGTGCTCCGCAGGTGGCAACCCAGGGGCATCAGCGATATCCTCTGCCCCACCAACACCGTGGCGCTGGAGAAAACCCAATTCGGCGTCGATAATTTGAAATATGTGTTTTTGATTGTCCTCGCGGGCACCTTGAGCGCGATTGTGGTCCTGTTCATGGAGAGGGTGGCTTCTTTGCTCAGCATGGTCTACGACAGAAGGTGTGGTAATATGTTAGTGATTCGTAGCAGTTTTGCAACGAAGCTAACTGCATCTTATCATAAGTAGTCAGCAAAAGCTGTTCTGCAGGAAAGCAGGACAGGACATGTGTTGCACCATAGCCATGGAAAGCCGTCAATGTTTCGTGCTCGAGTATTCTCAAGAATGCACCTTTCACATGGCTTTCACACGCTCTAGGAGCTTACTCATTCCACACCGGGAGTTGCTGGATCTTTTCCTAACTGCCGGCAAAGTAGTGCACAACTGCATGGGCGTAGGAAAAGGGGAGGGGGGGGGGGACAAGGACCCATGGCCCTCCCACATTTCAAGTCGGGGGGGGGCAGCAATGTTAGCTGCCTTAGCAATTTATTCAGCGATTTTTTTTCAGTGATGACTTCTGATTTCCCTGAAAAACAATTTCAAGGTAAATTGGGGCATGAGAACACCAAAAACCACCCTTATTTTGCAATGTCACGTGACCTTCAAGGTCAAAAGCTTGGTCAAAGGACGGGGAACTCGATATCACCCAACAATTACCAGCCGATTTTCAATTTGCAAATGTCGGAATATTCAATACAGAAAAATAGCGTCCGTCCAAAAGTCCTGACCTCTCAAGGTCACCCCTTAAGGTCATACACGGGCTCAAAGGACGGGGAACTTAATATCACCCAAAAATTACTGGTCCATTTTAAACTTTAAGACACCAAAATAATCACAAGAGAAAGAGCGTCACAAGCGTCCGTCAAAAAGTCCTGACCTCTCAAGGTCACCCTTCAAGGTATAACGCGGGTTCAAAGGATGGGGAACTCCATGTCACCCAAAAATTACCGGCCCATTTCAAACTGTAAGACATGAAAATAATCACCAGAGAACGAGCTAGCGTCCGTCAAAAAGCTCTGCCCTCTCAAGGTCAACCTTCAAGGTCAAACGCGGGCTTAAAGGGCGGGGAGCTCCATCAAACAGTCCCGACCTCTCAAGGTCACCATTAAAGGTCAAACGCGGGCTTAAAGGACGGGGAACTCCACATCACTCAAAAATTACTGGCTGATTTTAAACTTAAAGACATCAAAATAATCACCAGAGAAAGAGCTAGCGTCCGTCAAAAAGTCCTGACCTCTGAAGGTCACCCTTTAAGGTCAAACGCGAGGTCAAAGGACGGGGAAATTTATATCACCCAACCATTACCGGACGTTTTTTAACTTACAAACATCAGGATACTCGTCACAGAAAGAGCGCGTCCGTAAAAAAATCCTGACCTCTCAAAGGCACCCTTCAAGGTCAAACGCGAGCTCAAAGGACGGGGAACTCCACGTCACCCAGAAATTATCGGCTTATTTTAAACTTACAAACATCACAATATTTATCACAGGAAGATCCAGCGTCCATGAAAAATCATCCCCCTCAAGGTCATTGTTCAAGGTCAAACACCGGCCCAAATGACAGGGAACTCCATATCACCCAAAAATTACCGGCCGATTTTTAACTTGCAAACAGCAGAATACTCACCCACAAGAAAACCAGCGTCCGTCCTAAAGTCCTGACCTCTCAAAGTCACCATTCAAGGTCAAACATGGGCTCAAGGGACGAGTAACCTAATATCACCCCAAAATCACCAACTGATTTTGAGCTTGCAAACATAGGAATACTCACCACCAAAAGAACTAGGGTCCGTCAAAAAGTCGTGACCTCTCAAGGTAGCTCTTTAAGGTGAAACGCGGGCTTAAAGGACGGGGAACTCCATATCACCCATAAACTACCGGCCGATTTTTAGCTTGCAAAGATCAAAACATCCACAACAGAAAGAGCTAGCGTTCGTCAAAAAGGCTTCACCTTGTAATATTCTGATGTTTGTAAGTTTAAAATAGGCCAATAATTTTTGGGTGGTATGGAGATCCCCGTCCTTTGAGCCCGACTTTGACCTTGAAGGGTGACCTCGAAAGGTCACAATTTTTTACGGACGTGCTCTTTTTGTGATGAGTTTTCTGATGTTTGTAAGTTAAAAAAACGTCCGGTAATTGTTGGGTGATATAGAGTTCCCCGTCCTTTGATCCCGCGCTTGAAGATGAAAGGTGTCCTTAAGAGGTCAAGGTTTTTTGACGGACGCTAGCCCTTTTTGTGATGAATATTCTGGTGTCTGAAGCTAAGAAACGTCCAGTAATTTTTGGGTGATGAATAGTTCCCCGTCCTTTGAGCCCGCGTTTCACCTTGAAGGGTGAAGTTCAGAGATCAGGATTTTTTGACGGCCGCTAGTTCTTTCTGTGGTGAATGTTCTGATCGAGTCTAGATCAGATATGATCCGATCCAGAAAAGGTAAAACTCGGCCGGTAATTTTTGGGTGATATGGAGTTCCCGGCCCATTGAGTCCGTGTTTGACCTTGAAGGATGTCCTTGAGAGGTCAGGACTTTTGGACGGACGCTAGTTCTTTCTGTGTTGAATATTCTGACGTTTGCAAGTTGAAAATCGGCCGGTAATTGTTGGGTGATATCGAGTTCCCCGTCCTTTGGCTCAGCTTTTGATCTTGAAGGTCACATGCTATAGCAAAATAAGGGTCATTGTTGGTGTTATCATGCCATAATTAGCCTTGAAACCATTTTTCAGGGAAGTCGGAACTCGTCGCTGAAAAGGTCCGATTCTTTCGATTTATTCAGCGGCGCTAAATAAATCGCCAACTTAACGGACATCCCTGTTAGTTGGTTTATGACAGGGAGCTGCCTCCATGGTATATGTCTGCAGATCAATACTCTGGGTCATTTGACCAACAACCGTCATTAACGACATGTATAATTAATCTCAGCAAATAAGATTATTGTCCGTGAATATATCAATCCCAGGTAGCCTTTGTTTCTCTGGTGAAGTTCATTATTAGCAATGTATTCATGACATTATGCATTACACAACGTCATATGCAAGCGCGTAACTTAAAAAAACATACCGAACAACATCTAAATTGAGTGAGTCACGACGCTTCTTGCTTTTATGCAAGCTGGGCTTTGGGAGACACGTGACTGCTGTATGATGTCGGGGAAAAATCCTTCCGGTGAGCATGGCAACATTGCTGAAAAATGGGAAGCCAGTACTCCTAGTTAGGCGGACGGCGTAATCGAATCGAAGGAAACGACGACGATATAGCCGGAAAAACTGCGCACAACAAAATGGTGGCCAGTGTGGCAGATTGCCGCCTAAGGGTGAAACGAGAAAAAGGTCAAGAAGCCTAAATAACGATAAGTTGAATGGAAAAGACCCTGCGTAACACATCTACCTTCGCAGGGTAGATGCCAAAATACGGCCTGGACATAGGTTGCTGAGAATTTTAAATGTGAATCAATGGCTCACAGTGCGACAGATTTTTCACACGTTTTTATTTCGTTGGCTGCATTTCAAGAAGTAAGGCTTGTCGCAGCATCCTAGGCGGAAACGAATTCGGAACCTTGAAACTGCCAAAAACATGTGACAACAGCCATCAAACTAGAAATTCTCGTTTAACAACCAAGCCACAGAATTAAGGCCATTCTGTCTTAAATTCCTTATCTGAGCCCTGCTCCTATCCGCCATCGGCGGCCATTGCCCAGGCCCGGCTGTCTCCAGCATGACTTATTGCGAATTGATCGCGTGGCTGCTTTGTTGCATATTTCTGGATCAGTATTGCTACTAATTGGTGTGTAAAACATGCTGGACACGTGCAACAGCACCGTTTTCCGAATGATCTTCTCTTACACCACACCAACCAAGAAAAAACTCCGGGAAATTGTCTGCATTAGGTATGAATTGACCCAACCGACAATTGCCCACCATTCAACGTACACATGGGTGTAGGAAAAGGGGGGGGGGGCAGAGGGGCCATGGCCCTCCGCTTTTCAAGGTGTGTGTAGGGGGGGGGGGCAGCAGTGCTAACTGCCCTCCCCCCCACGCACACACTTCAGATTAATGTTGTGTTTAGATTACATTTGGACTACACTAAACATACATGCCGATTCACGTAGTTCACCACATGCTTCCTCTTTTTCGTTTGCTCACTGACCGTCACTTAATGTTACAACCGCAGGACCGACGTCGCGCGGCCTTTGGAGATTGCAACGCCGGGCGTCGAGGCTGTTGCGATGACTTGCGAGCGCGCATATTCAGAACCATGTTACATAGCTTTTTATCAGTGACTAATTCTGACTGAATCCTGAACATCTTTAGACGAACATGGATCAGCCATGCTAATACAAATTTGAGATTCTGTTTTATCTAAAATCTATGTTCAGGGAGTCCTCAATATCCTGAAGAACACAGAACATGGAGCTGGAGTCTATGTGACAATTATTGGACCACCTGCGGTGATTGGGGATGTTGTTGCGTCGATGAGGGTTCCTGTGCTGATCCGGGGCCAGCTGCGCGGGTCAGAAGGCCTGCCTTGTCAGGGTGGGGGGGGGGGGGGGAACAATGTGATAAGATTTATCCTTCTAATGGCTTCCAGATCGACTAGGAAATCCTGCCCCGTGCCGCCAAAATGACAGCCAGAAGACACTTCGCGATGGGACGGAATGGCATTTCAGCCCTTGACTGGAAACAGAAATGTGCCCCTGGTATTCTACTCAAGGGGTCTCTTGCCCGGAACGAAAAAAATAGGCCTCATTATTGTCGAGTATAGTGGGATCTCATTATTGTTCAGTAAAGTGGGATCTCATTATTGTTGAGTAAAATGGGGTCTCATTATTGTTGAATAGGGTCGGTCGGAATGAGTTTAAAAGGAACAAACAAACCCATCTCATATTTTCCTGAGTGTTCACTTTTCATAACGGATTAGTGAAACGGATTTCATTGAAATGTTTGAACATGCTCCCCCGCAACCACCAGAGCGACAGCGATGGCCTGGGTTGCAGCTTCAGTAAAGCCGAACGGAGTCGGCAAGTGCAGGTGTAACGAGAAGGCGGACACGGTGTTAATCTGCCTTCTGGACAGATGAATAGTTACAGAAACACGAAAAATAGAGATTCTTTCCCTTCTCCTCCAGTTCCA